CCCCCAGCGTCCCCAGTGCGTCAAAATAGCGCCAGCAAACCCAGGCGAAACCCGGTGGAAGTTTTGGCGAATCGTGTCTCACCACATGTTTTTTTTTTGGCCCACTTAATCATTCTCACAAATTTTTGCTTGGGATGGGGTGTTACTGGGAAGATGCCCACTTTATTTCGCCGAATTTCGTCGGATGACCCTCAAGACATCAACTTTTTTGGTTCGGTGGTGTTTTTGGGGATGTCAATGGCTGGAGATGCTCTTAGCTAGAAGCTGATTCGTCTGGCAAATGAGAGCAGCTCCTGGCACGGTTCGCCAGATATTCATATACATAAAAGTATATGTTATAATATTTGAACACTGAAATTTATGACCTAAAAAGTCGGACACGACCTTGTAAACGTGACTGGAGGGAGTATATATATTAATTAAATGAATCAAAGGCAGTCAAACTTCCAAGAGCCTATCAGATCTCTTTTCTCCTCCATAAGAAAAACTCTTCTTCTTCTGTCGGCGGCACCGCCGGTCCGTCCCGTCTCTGATGGCCTCTAGGCCATGAAGGTGCGGAGGATCTCACCCCCTCCCCCCATCCCCACCCCCACCCCCTCTCGCGCGCCGGCGGGAGGGACTCATGTTCTTGTTAGATTCAGCATCTTGGTTGGGGCTGTAAGGCGGCGGCGATGTTCCATAGTAGGAATAATGTCTCTCACGTTCTATCCCCGTCCCGATTGTGCGCCTAGCATCATCGGAGGATGTGTGGAGGTTTATCTCCATTGGATCTTCAGGGATTTGGTCGTTGCTGGTCTTTGGTGGGTTTATTTGAATCCGGTCTTCGTTCGTCTTCATTTAGGTGTTTACAAGTTTGATCCTTCTGATCTATGACTTTCTTCATCGGCGATGATTGCTACTCTGGTGTGTTGGTCATATGGGGCCTTAGCACGACGACTTTCCGACTGTCTACTACAAAAATGTTTGCCCGGCTCCGGTGAGGGAGGGGCGATGATCGTTGCTAGGTGGTCCACGGACATGGTTGTAATTTTTATTACCTCTGTTGTTCTTTGTACTGTCATGGTTGAAGATGAATAAATTAGAAGTTTTTCAAGAAAAAAATATATGAATCGAAGCATAGAGCAGCCAACGGTTGAGGTTGATCTTGCGTTACATTTTTATTTCCCTTCTCATTACACCACTAATTTGGTTGATTGCGCGAAGCAGAAATTTTTGCCATTGTGTGGTCAGGGGTGTAGTAGTGTAGTAGAGGTGGCTGGAAAGCTCACGTCTGCAATGTATCTGTATAGTTCAGTCGGTCTTGCCGGTCATCATGGAGATGCCGGTGTTGCGGCCGAACCTGGAAACGGCGCAGTCGGCGGCAAAGATGTCGGAGGAGACATAGTTTGGCGCACCACCCATGATGGGCATGCTGGCGCGCACGCTCATCTCATTCACGTAGTCGGAGCGGTAGGTCTGGCCGAGCACGCCGTGCACGTCGTCGGTGAGGTCATGGAACTTGAACCCAATGTCGAGGTGCGCGAGGCTGTCTCCTGACCCAGCGACGCCGTAGTTGTGGATGCGCGAGTCCACCTCGGTGATGGGCACCACGTTGGCCATGATGTCGAACACGCCCCTCAGGTGCACCCTCACTCCGTTGGTCGCCGCCGTCCTCGTGACGGTCAGCCCTGGAACCGCGGCCGACTGCCACCGTGCGCCGGCCTCGATCGGGATCTCGATGGCCGCATCGTCGAAGGACATCTCGAGGTGATCAACGTCACCGTTCCAGCTGGTGGTCTTCTGGGCTCCCATGAAGAGACGGTGGTGCGCGAAGCGGATGCCGAGGGCCTGGATCCAGGTGAAGTCGCGGCTCATGGAGGGGTTGCGCTTGCCGATGAAGTGGGCGTTGATGTGGAGGTCGGCGTCGGAGACGATGCAGAAGTCCTGGTCCTTCTTGCCGTGGAAGTAGAAGTTGTTGCCGTCGCCGCCGGTGAAGCGCGGGTCACCGCAAGACACGCCGGCGTAGAAGTCGCACACTAGAATCCAAAGTAAAGTCAATGACATCACATACACACATACAGAAAAGATATCATGCATGGTAAGAACAATCTCCTCAAACTTTACTGCAGTAGGTCTTGCAGCTGGGGCAGAGGACGATGCACTGGTTGGGGCAGCGCTTGTCGCACTTGCCCATGCACCCCGCCTTCCTGCCGTTGGTGTCCTTGCACGACAGCTGCTGGCTCCTCTGCCCGAACTTGCCCGGGCTGATCATGTGGTAGTTGGGGGGCAGCTTCCTCGGCGGCTGGGCCTGGACGCCAGCGGCCGCCGCCAGGGCGCACACGGCCACCAGAGCGGCCAGCGCAGCAACCAGTTGCCGCGCCATGGATCGTCCTTCTTGCTAGATCGAGCACACTGCTGAGATGGGTCGTGGTGGTGAGGTGTTTGTCGCATCGCATGTGAACGTTGCGATATATAGGGAAGTTCTCCCACTTGCAGGCCAGCATTCTCCGGAGACGCTTTGCGTTCACCTGCACGTTTCGTATACGTGTGACACATCGAAAGGTCAACCGGGCATGTGATAGTTGATCATTCTTGATCGCCTCGTAACTTTCTTAGCCACTTGGAGTAGCTGGTTGACTTACTGAGCAGCTAAGTGTCATCGTGTGTGCTCAAAGCCCCTTTTCATCGTCCTAATCAATCCCTGCCCGGCCGCCATGGACAGCTCGATTACCGCCCCACTAATCAATCTACCACAACCACACTGCACGTCTACGCTGTTCTCAGGCGTGCCATATGTTGCCTTTAACATTGAGAGCACCTTACTAGTACCCTCCTTCCCAAAATCTTAGGCATATAAGCTTTTGCATGCAATTCCATAATCTGAGGCACACATGCCTTTTTCTCTCATTCAGTTAGAGCCATCACCAAAGAGTCTTATTTTTCTGGAAAGAAAAACAAATAGCTACATGGGTCTCTCGTGGGGTTAGCTCATAGCACCCTCTTCGTTTGAGATTGGATTGCTCAAATGAACCTGCACTAATTTTTGTGCTAAATCTAATACGCCTAATATTATGGGAAGGAGGTACATTATCCAATCAGCTTGCTAAAATTTGTCATTTATGCATGTAGACACACTATGCATGTAAATCACTATATAACCATTGTGATGTACATAAATTCTCTAAACGGGTATATTTGCTTGCACACACACATGCATTGTCCTTGTACAAACTAATGGGAGGCAAAAGGAGGGAATTAAAATAATGATTCTAGTTTTTTGTTTTAGCGATCATTATGCTCATTTTTTTAATTAAAATCACACAATAAATTATGTTGGTCATGTCGGATTTCCACGGTATACTTATACTACATGCTTTAAGGTGTGGAATTAAGATAAACACAACGACCTCGTTAAACAAAATTCGCTGCAATAAAAAAGGCCTAAACTTAAACAAATAAAAATAAAACAAAAAACATAATTTTTCTAAAGTAGAATGAATTAGGGGCATTGGTATTACCTTAAAGAAGAAATAAAATGAAAGAAAAACTGTGCATTGTGGATGTCGATATTCTTTTCTACTCCCTCTGTTTTTTTGGGTCCGCATATAAAATTTGGTCAAAGTCAAACTTTGTCAAGTTTGACTAACTTTATAGAAAAAACATCAACATTCACAATATGAAATCAATATTATTAGATGCACCATGAAATTTATTTTCATACCACATAGTTTTAGTATTGTAGATGTTGATATTTTTCTTATAAAGTTAGTCAAACTTTACATAGTTTGACTTTGACCAAATTTTATATGCGGACTAAAAAGAAACGAAGGGAGTACAGACTTGACATAATTTAACCCTTTTGACCAAATTTTATATGCGGACTAAAAAGAAACGAAGGGAGTACAGGCTTAACATAATTTAACCCTTTTTACTTAAGAGAAAAAAAATATCGTTAGTGAAAAGAATAGGAAGTAGTATTAAGCAAATATGCCTAACATGGACTATCATAAAGACTTGTTGTCAAACTTATTTCTTACAAAGAGGATTCCGCGTGAACTAAAAACTTGCACACAAATATGCAAACTTGCACAATTCACTAGTAGAAAAAGGGTCAAACATGAAGCACATTAGTGCCGGTTTGTATTTGAGCCGGCACAAATGTATACATTAGTGCCGGTTCCAACGGCTAGCCGGGCCGCTCTCATTAGTACCGGTTCGTGGCAAACCTTTATCACCGGTTCATGCCACGAACCGGTACTAATGAGAGTGGTGGCAGGATGTTGTCAGTCTGGGCCCCCTCCAGCACCTTTAGTACCGGTTCTTGGCACGAACTGGTACTAAAGGTCGTCCTACATAAACCCTTCGTCCACCCGAGCTCGCTCTGTTCTTCCCCTTTCCCCTCTCCTCTCTGTTCTTCCCCTCTTCCTCTCGAGCTCATCACACATTTTCCCCAAAATTTGTCAAGATTTGAAGGCCCCCATCCATTCAAATGATCACAAAGGTTAGCAACTTTGTCCTTTCATCTCTCATTGCTAGATTAGCTCTTGCAATGCTTTATATAGTTATTAATTTGTGAGTTTAGTAATTTGGGAGGAAATATATATATGTGCTAGTATTTGATTTATATGCAATTTGAGGTTAAAATAACACTTAGTTTGCATATGTAGGTGTGGTTTACTTAGTGCCTTCTAAATCTCCGTCGTAACCACCGTCGATCGCCCGCACCGTCCCGTCGCCGGCACCACCTTGTGGTGAGCCTCTTGTTCATGAAATTTTATATAAAAAATTGATGTTTGCGTGATTTGGATATATAGTTACTCATATAATAATTATCTTACCCGTACGTTATTTGTTATACATAGTGCCATGGTTTTGATATCCGTCCCCGTCGGCCCTCGTCCTTATTATGATTCGGATGTGGTATATTCTCTTTTAAAACTATTTGTTGCATTTCGTGTTTATGACAAATTATGCCCATCAAGTTGACATAGATATTTTTATCTAGGAGGTATGTGAACCGGAAATTCCAACCGACCCTATTGTCGAGAGGTTAAATTTAGTTGAAAGAGAAAATGAGTACTTGAAAGAAAAATTGAAAAGAATTGAGGGGGAGAAGATGGAATTGGAGTTGCATGTTGCCGATGTCGTCGATGATCACAAGATCAAGAAGGAGAAAATGCGCTTGAAGATTAGAAAGATTAGAAAATATGTCATCGATAGTGAGGCTTGGTATCATTATGCTGTTGGATCAATTGTTACCTTAGTTGCGATCTTGATCGCATTTGTTGTTGCATTTAAATGCTTTAGCTAGAGAGTTATTTGTTTGTTGCATTTAAGTGTTGTATGAACTTTATGTATGAACTTGTATTAATTTGGTCTATTCGGTGTTGTGTAATGAAGATGAGCCGGCAATGGATATACGATGACCGATGCTCTCCCCAGTTCGTTGAGGGCGTGCATACTTTTCTGCTTGCGGCTGAGGCAAACAAGCGGGCGGATGGTTTTATGCCTTGTCCATGTGCTGGCTGTAAGAATGGTCGCAATTACTCTACGTCAAGAACCATTCACGTCCACCTGTTTGAGTCCGGTTTCATGCCCCACTATAATGTTTGGACCAAGCATGGAGAAAGAGGGGTTATGATGGAAGACAATGAGGAAGAAGAGGACGACGACAGCTATCTTGGCCATGGGTTCCCTGAATACGATGATACAACAATGGGGAAAGAAGCTGAGCCGGTAATGCGGGAAGAAGCTGAGCCGGAAATGCGGGAAGAAGCTGAAGAAGAGGCATCAGATGAGCCCGTTGATGATCTAGGTCGGGCCATTGCCGATGCAAAGAGAAACTGCGCAAGTGATTTGGAGAAGAAGAAGTTGCAGCGCATGTTAGAGGATCACAAAAAATTGTTGTACCCGAATTGCGTAGGTGACAAGAAAAAGCTGGGCACCACACTGGAATTGCTGCAATGGAAGGCAGAGAATGGTGTATCTGACAAGGGATTTGGAAAGTTGCTGGTAATGATAAAGGATATGCTTCCAAAGGAAAATGAATTGCCCGAGAGTACGTACGAAGCAAAGAAGGCTGTCTGCCCTCTAGGGTTAGAGGTGCAGAAGATACATGCATGCCCTAATGATTGCATCCTCTACCGCAGTGAGTACAAGGATTTGAACGCTTGCCCGGTATGTGGTGCATTACGCTATAAGATCAGCCGCGATGAGCATGGTGATGTCGAGGGCGAGCGCCCCAGGAAGAAGATTCCTGTCAAGGTGATGTGCTATTCTCCTATAATACCACGGTTGAAACGTTTGTTCCAAAACAAAGAGCATGCCAAGGCGATGCGATGGCACAGAGAAGACCGTAAGAAAGACGGAAAGTTGAGAGTACCCGCTGACGGGTCGTAGTGGAGAAAAATCGAAAGAAAGTACGGGAAGGAGTTTGCAGATGACGCAAGGAGCATATGGTTTGCTCTAAGCGCAGATGGCATTAATCCTTTTGGGGAGCAGAGCAGCAACCATAGCACCTGGCATGTGACTCTATGTTTGTATAACCTTCCTCCTTGGTTGTGCATGAAGCGGAAGTTCATTATGATGCCAGTGCTCATCCAAGGCCCTAAACAACCCGGCAATGACATTGATGTGTACCTAAGGCCATTAGTTGAAGAACTCTTACAACTGTGGAATGGAACAGGTGTACGTGCATGGGATGAGCACAAACAGGAAGAATTTGACCTAAAGGCATTATTGTTCGTGACCATCAATGATTGGCCTGCTCTCAGTAACCTTTCAGGACAGACAAACAAGGGATACCACGGATGCACGCACTGTTTGGATGATACCGACAGTATATATTTGAATAGTTGTAAGAAGAATGTGTACCTGGGACATCGTCGATTTCTTCCGAGCAGGCATCCCGTAAGAAAGAAAGGCAAGCATTTCAAAGGTGAGGCAGATCACCGGACGAAGCCTCGCCACCGTACTGGTGCTGATGTACATGATATGTTCAAGGATTTGAAGGTGATATTTGGAAAGGGTCCTGGCGGACAATCTATTCCAAAGGACGCTGACGGACGCGCACCCATGTGGAAGAAGAAATCTATATTTTGGGACCTGCCATATTGGAAAGACCTAGAGGTCCGCTCCGCAATCGACGTGATGCACGTGACAAAGAATCTTTGCATGACCCTGCTTGGCTTCTTGGGCGTGTATGGGAAGACAAAAGATACACCTGAGGCACGGGAGGACCAGCAACGTATGCACGGAGAAGACGGCATACATCAGGGTCATGCAAGCTACGCTTTTACCAAAGAAGAGAAGGAAATCTTCTTTGAATGCCTGCTCAGTATTAAGGTACCGTCTGGCTTCTCGTCAAATATAAAGGGAATAATA